TCCTGCTCATCCTCCTGCTCGCCCGCCACTTCCTCTTTCCGCATGGCACAATGGGGTCGTTCTTAGAGTCCAGCTCGGCTTTGACACGCGTCCGCGGACAGAGAAGACATGAGCGCAACGAGGAAGGATGGGAGGGAAGGATCGGACGTCAGGTATGGCGCGAGCGCACCTAGCTTGCCTCATCCCCGTCTTGCTCCCCCTCCTCCTCCTCCTCCTCCTCCTCCTCCTCCTCCTCCTCCTCCTCCAGCCCCTCCTCTTCCCCTGCTCCAGCGTGGAGAGGGGGCAGGGAAGGATGAGGGAGGCATGGACAAGGTGCGGGCTGGTGCTGGTGGTGGGAGGGGAAGGAGGACAAGCAAAGTGCGCTCGTGCCATACTTGGCATCGTCCTTCCCACTGCGCTGATTTGCCTCCATCCGCCGACGCGTGTCATACGAGACTTGAAATACACCCAAAGGGACCGCATCGTCTTGTGCGCAATCAGGAGTAAGGGGACCCGTGTACGTTGGAGGAGCTGGAGGAGGAAGTGGCGGACGAACAAGAGGATGAGCAGGAGGATGAGGATAAGACAGGATGGGGACGAGCAGGAACAGCAGGATCAGGATCAGGAGTAGGATGAGTGGGAGGAGCAGCAGGACCAGGGAATGCGCAGGAGAGGAAAACGAGGGGGGGCGACAACGATGACAAAGGACTCGGATCCAGAAAAGTTGCCCGCGCTGGGGCGGACACGCCATTCTGAACGACGGGATCAAACTGTCGATCCCAACAAGAGGCCAGCGCTGCAGCGGGAACGCTATTTTGAACAACCGAGAGCGGTCCGACCGACAGAAATGTGGGAGAGCACAGTGCGAAAGGACGAAGTGGAGGGCCACGCTGCAGCGGAAGTACCGTTGTCAGACACCGAAGACGTTCCGACCAGAAACGTCGTACAGTCAACGCGCCCAACAAGGACGCGCGCCTGCATCCGGGGTATACCCTCTGTACCCTTCCCTCTGCGGCCCGTCCTCTGCCCGCAGAAAACGTCTACGCACCACCACCGTGGCTGGCGGGCCAACCTGGGCCCTAGCGTGGTGTAGACGCCCTCCTGGCCGATGCCAGGAGGGCGTACACACCGCAGTGGGGCCCAGGATGGCCCTAGTCAGGCACGGTGGTGGTGCACAGATGCCGTCTGCGGATGCGTCCCTACCACCCGTCCTCGATCCACGTTTCGGCGGTGTGGAGCGCAGCTTTCTTTGCGTTCCTGCGCGTAGGAGAAACCACTCTGTGCAGGAGAGGGCGGGCACTCCCAGGACGCAGTCCAGGGGGAGAGGGGGGAGCGGTGCAGCCGTGGAGGACCAGCCGTGGAGGAGCAGCAGGAGGAGCAGGGAGTCGCACCAGGGGAGGAGGAGGAGGTAGGATGATGAGGAAGGACGAGGGGAGGAGGAGGAGGGAGGAGGTTGGGGGGAGGGGGGAGGAGGGAGGAGGAGGGAGGAGGAGGAGGGAGGACGAGGGGAGCACCAGTGAGCAGCACCAGGGGAGGGAGGAGGGAGGGAGGAGGGTGGGGGGAGGGGGATGAGGGTCGGGAGGAGGGGTGGGGGAAGGAGCCGCGCGACGACGACGAGGAGGAGGAGGAGGAGGAGGAGAAGGAGGGGAGGATTACCATGACTACGATTATGATGATGCTGATGCTGATGCTAGTGCTGATGATGCTGATGCTGATGATCATGATGCTGTTGATGGTGATGATGCTGCTGATGCTGCTGGTGCTGATGCTGCTGATGCTGATGCTAATGATGATGCTGCTGCTGATGATGCTGATGCTAATGATGCTGATGCTGCTGATGATGCTGATGATGATGCTGTTGCTGATGCTGATGCTGCTGCTGATGATGCTGATGGTGATTGTGATGATGCTGACGCCGATGCTGCTGCTGGTGATGCTGCTGATGATGATGGTGGCGATGACGATGCTGATGCTGAAGGCGATGCTGACGCTGGTGCTGGTGCTGATGACGATGACGATGACGATGTCGAGTACGATGACGATGTTGATCATGCTGATGATGCTGATGATGATGTTGATGGTGCTAGTTATGCTGATGACGGTGATGATAGTGATGATGATGGTGATGATGGTGATGATGGTGAGGACGATGATGATGATGATGATGATGGCGATGGCGATGATGGCGACGACGATGCTGATGATGCTGATGATGATAGTGATGCTGCTGAGGCTGATACTTATGATGCTGGTGATGCTGATACTAATGATGCTGCTGATGATTATGACGATGATGCTGATGGTGGTGCCGACGATGATACTGATGCTGATGCTGATGATGCTGATGATGGTGATGATGGTGAGGACGATGGTGATGTTGATGACGTCGACGATGACGACGACGATACTGATAATGATGATGATGATGATGATGATGATGATGATGATGATGATGCTGGTGATGCTGCTGCTGATGGTGATGATGATGCTGATACTGATGATGATGATGCCGATGCTTATGATGATGGTGATCATGCTGATGATGATGACGATGATTCTGACGATAATGAGGATGATGCTTTTGATGATTATGATGATGGTGGTGGCGGTGGTGGTGATGATGATCATGCTGATGATGATAGTGATGCTGCTGAGGCTGATACTTATGATGCTGGTGATGATGATGCTGACGATGACGATGCTTACGATGAGGCTGTTGATGATATTGACGACGACGATGATTCCCATGATGATGGTGATGATGATGCTGATGATGATGATGATGATGGTTCTGGTTGTGGTGGTGATGATGACGACGATGACGATTATGATGATGATGGTGGTGGTGATGCTGATGCTGATGATGATGATGCTGCTGCTGATGCTGCTGATGATGAGGAGGCGGAGGAGGATGAGGATGATCATGGTAATGACAGCTTTGGTGGTAGTGTTAGCGAACGCGATTGCGCGGATGATAGCTACCGTGGTGACGAAGACATTGCGACTCATGATGACACGGTCGTTGACTTTTGCTTAGCGTGTCGCGTCGCCGGTTCTGGCGCACCGCGCTTCGGCGCGACACGCTATCCACGCTCTGGTGCCCAGGCGTCCACGTCCCCAGCTTTTCCCAGCCTCCCGCCCCGCGAAGCGGAGCGACACGCTATCCGCTCGCAGTGCGTAGTTTATCGCAGGGGCCGCCGCCGCGACACGCTGAGCACAAGTTCCTGACCGTAATGATGACGATGTAGATGACGGCCTCGGTAAGGTCGACGATGGCGATGATCACGATGATAATAGTGATGATGATAGTGATGATGATGATGATGATGATGATGATGATGATGATGATGATGATGATGATGATGATGCTGATGATGAACAAGATGGTGAGGACGGTTGTGGGTGGTGGTGATGATGATGAGGAGGAGAAGCAGGAGGAGGAGGAGGAGGAGGAGAAACACGATGCCCTTGTTCACCACATCGCACATCGTGATTTTCCTCCTTCCTCCGTCGTTCGCCCTCCTCCCTTTCCCAGGCATCCTCCCGCCATCCTCCTTCCCTCTTGCGTCCCCGCTCCCACCCAGTCGTTGTCGTCCTCATCGTCCTTCCCGTTCTTGTCCTCCGCTCCGCATTCTGATCATCCTCGTCTTGCCCTGCCTCCTCACTCCTCGCTCCTCGTTCCTCCCTCCAAACTGCTCTCCCTTCTCTCCCTCCTGGTCTTTCCCTCCCTTTTCTCCCTCCCGCCTTCCTCGTACCTCCTCCCTCCTCCTGCTCCCCAGCTTCTGCTCCCTGCTCCCTTCTCCCCTCCCGCCACTCGCATTCTCCCTTCCCCCTTCTCCTCCCCCTTTCCCTCTCATTCCCTCCTCCTCCTCGCATTCTCCTCCTCCCTCTCATTCCCTCCTCCTCCTCCTCCTCCTCCTCCTCCCCCTCTCATTCCCTCCTCCCTCTCATTCCCTCCTCCCTCTCATTCCCTCCTCCTCCTCCTCCTCCTCTCTTCTCCTCGCATTCTCCTCCTTTCCTCCTTCCCGCTCCCACCTCATTCGCCCCCCCCGTCGGGCGGCATACCGTCTTCGATGCATTGGCGCCCCTTGTTTGGCAACAGCTCCCGACCGCGAGTACGAGCTCAGAGATCGGACAGAGGTCACTATCCATTCTCCTTTCAAAGAAGAAGAGGCTCTGCCGCTCTCCCGAGCCCGGGGTTCACGATACCCCCTGGAGTACTGTGATCTACACATGGCTCTGCCTGATTTGTCATTCCCCGTGTGAAATCATACCATCCCAGCCAGGCCAGTGTCGACCCTCCCCCCCGTCATCCTTGTCAAATGGTAGCATTCGCGCGCACTCGTTTGTCTCGATCTATTTTTCCAATCACCCCTTGCAGAAACATGCAGCAAAGTCCACACGCGCGCGCACATGTTGAACTCAGACCAAACACGTTCGTTTTGCAAGTATTCCAGCATGGCAACCATCAAGGCCCATTGGTGTTTCAATGGAAGCGCGGCAGATTTCTGCCCGCGCGCACTTGCCGACATCACGGGGAAGCCACAGCATGTCAGCAATCCCGTCCCGAGCCCGCGCTCTCATCTCAGCACGCGGTGTATTCGCGTTCGTCTAGCACGCTCCCAGTGCACGAAACCGTATCAAGACATATCATGCGGGCCACATGCGCGCGCCGCCACGCGCGCGTGTCGAAGTCGATCAGCAGCGCGGGCTTTCGACGTATTTGAAGATGTATATCTTCAAGCATGAAGAAGCCAATCGCTTTAACAACACTTCTGCCAGAATTATTGGATTTCTGCACGCGCTCACCTCTTCATTACCCTCACCAGCGCCATCGTCATCGTCGATTGCCGCCCTTGCCGCCATCATCATCACAATCACCTTCGTCACCGGCACATGGACATCATCATCGTCATCGTCGTCACCAGCATCGGCGTCGTCATTGGCCTTGCCGTCGTCATCGCCGTCTTCGTCGTCGTCGTGATCATCACCACCACTATCGCTATCATTACCATCGTTGCCGCCGTTGCCCACGCTATCATGATAGATATCATGCCCGCCCGAGTCACCGACCCGCACTGAAGTGCCCTCGTGCCCGCGCGGCCTTGGAGACGCGCTGGGGAGTACCCATCAGTAGGCGCCTTCGCGGCCGCATCAGCTGTGCCAACCCAGCTGGCCGATCTGGCGCGCGAGCGTGCGCGCGCCAGTGCGGGTGTAGAGATATGCAGGCAAGCTCCAATCGTGGTCGAATGGGCTTTGCCAAACAAGTGCGGGTGGGCGGGGGTGTTTGCACGAGCAGTGGAGTCGACGACTCCAAGACGGTCGGAATCAATCCACTCCCACAGGATGCCCCCTGCCTCGCCTCTTCCTCTCCTGGTCCATCCCGTCCCTGTCCTCGTCCGTGCCGCGTCCACGTCCCGTCCCTCTCCTCCTCCTTCTCCTCCTCCTCCTCCTCCTCCTCCTCCTCTTGTCGTGGTGCTGCTGATGCTGTTCCTCGTCCGCGTCCTTCGTCGTCCACCCCTTTTCCTCCCCCTGCCGCACCACCAGGCGTGCACCAGGCGTGTCCGTAGGCCAGGGCGGGCGTTTCGCTGGGTACCTCCTGGCAGCATGGTGTCCTGAAGTAGAACTTGTGCCCAAAGCTACAAGGATGGAGGGCCAGCCGTTCCCACTGTGCGGCTTTCGCCGTGGCGCCTCTGGCAGTTAGAAGGATGGAGGTCCGGAGGTTTTCGTAATACGACTCGCTTATCTGGAGCGAAAGAACGACGTGCACGTACATGAATCCGCGTTCTTTTCAAAAGTACGCATGGCGCGAACGTTCGTATCACGAGGCTGGTCTCGCGGACCAAGGAGCTTTATTCGTGTACGTGCTTGGGTGCGTACGTCTTTGGTGGGCTCCCTAGCTCAAGCGCCGCGCACACTCGTTTTAACAACCTCCAACAGGCATATGGATGGAAGGCTGGTGGTTGTCAACATGTGGCTCTCGCCTATGCGCTGCGCGCCTTCATTTAAACAAATCCAACAATTACACGGATGGAGGGTGGTCCTTTTTCAAATGGGGTGTCCTGCTTGCCATTCCTCACATTCCACGACCCGAGGTTCTAATTTGTGCACTGCACGGATCGAGTATTTTGTTGTTTTGGACACAACAGGGTTCTCGTTTGAGAGTTCTTCGGATTGGAGCTTACACTGATGGAGGGCACACCCTTGTCCAAAACGGAGCTCTCGCTGGATACATCCTTGCACTGTCAGACCCTACTTCCCCCCGGTCTAAACTCTGGAAGGCTGGAAGGTGGATCCTCGACACAGTTGGGTCTCGCTTGCCCGGCAGGCCCACTGGGCGTCTGTCCCGCAGTGGACAGGACCAGTGTAGTCGTAGAGAGGACTCGGGGCGGTAGTGTTTATTGCAGCCTCGTTGATGCACGCTGAGTCTCATCTGGTCCTCCTTCGCCTCCTCCTCCCTCCTCCGTTCTCCTCGCCCTCGTCCCGTCCCGCCTCCTCCTGCCTATCCAGATATCTGTCGTCGCTCTCTCCTCCTGCCCCCCTCTCCTCCCCCTCCTGCCGCTCGTGATCCTCCTCTCCCCCTCGCTGCCGGTCCCAAGCAGAGCCGGGCAGGGACTCTGGCCTCTGGTGGTGGGTCGGTGCTGGGGGGGGGGTGCCCGAGACGGAGGAGGAGGAGGAGGAGGAGGAGGAGGAGGAGGAGGAGGAGAGGAGGAGGAGGAGGAGAGGAGGAGGAGGAGGAGGAGGAGGAGGAGGAGGAGGAGGGGGAGGGGAGGAGGAGAAGGAGGAGGGGGAGGGGGAGGAGGAGGGTCTTGGGGGGGGTTGCCCATGCCGCCGCTGGTGGCCCCAGAGGGGGGGCCGGCGGCCCTCACCAGACTTGGCGATCCCGTGCGGCACCCAGCGCGAAAAAGTGATGGGCGTGCTTTCCACCGCCACCGCCATGAGTTGGAGGGGAGGATCCTCCTCCTCCTACTCCTTCTCCTCCTCCTGCTCCTGCTCCTCCTCCTCTTCGTCCTCCGCCCCCTCGCCCTCCTCCTCCTCTTCCCCCCTCCAACTTACGGTGGTGGTGGTGGTGGTGGTGGAAAACGGGCTCATCAAAAAGTCCCAAGAGAGGCTCAGCATGGCGACCTCCGCGAGTGTCGCCCTCTTCCCTCGCGGCTGCCGTCAGACCCAGCCCAGCTGATCGCCTGGCTCAGCCCGGCAGGATCGAGTCGCACCGATCGGCGCGTGTCGCCTGGCCTCCAGAGGAGGAGGGGGAGGGCTGCAGCGATGCGCGGAAAGGGAGACACTTGCCATCAGCCGCGCCCGCGCGCCGCCGGATCTGCGCGCAGCTCGCGGTGATCCGCCGCTGCCTTTCCTGCCGCTCTTCCGCCGCGCTCCCGCCCCCCCTCCCTCCCTCCCCCTCCCTCCTTGGCCTTTCCCTCTCGCGCCCCCTCCTCCCTCCGCCTGCCTCCCTGCTTCATTCTCGCTTCTCCCATCCACCCGCCCCCTCCTCCCCCCTCCCCCCTTCCCCCCCTCCCCCTCCCGTTGCTCCTGCGCTCTCCCCCCCCGCCCTTTCCCTCCCCCTCCCTCCCCCCTCCCTCTTCCTGCGCTCTCCTCTCCCCCCCCTCCCCCTTCCCCCTCCCTCCTCGCTCCGCCCCCTGGCGCCCCCGAAGCCCAGAGGGCTGGGCGGCCACCCCCGCCGCCAAGGACGCGCGGGTGTACTTCGGCGAAGGCCCGGGCCCAGCCAGGGCGCTGCCAGCGGGTGCCGCCGAGGTCGTCGCCGCTTCGCGCCGATCCCCCCCTCGGCAAGAGATCGAGGGAAGAATCTGGTTGACCCAAAAGGGGGTCCAGCTGCAAGCGGGTGGTGCAGTAGATCTGGTGCAATAGATAGTTTTGTGGGTTGCAGTAGAATTGGGGCGTGCAATACATCTGGGGCGCAGATGTATTGCTGGATTTTCGCGTGCATTACATTAGTTGCAATACAATGCAATACAAGTCTCCGGCGCAGAACATTTGCAATCCAGTTGCCCGAAACCTATTGCACCACCCCCTTTCAGCTGAACCCCCCTTTTGGGTCCACCGAAAGAAGCATGGGGACCCTGACCAAGATGTCTTGGTCATGGTCCATGTCGGCCGTCGCCGATTCGCGAGGATTATCCCCGAGCTGGCGCTGACCACGATCGACGCTGACCAAGATCGACACGACGTTTCCGCGTTCAGTCTCGGTCAGGATTGCCGTTTTCTTCCCCTCTAAAAGAGCCAGCAACCAGGTCAAGGATGCAATGGCTGGCAGGGCCGTCGGGGATGCCCACACAGCGCGTTTGGCCTTTGTCCCTTTTCCTCGCGCTTCTCTTCCTCCTGTCCCATGGCTGGTGATTCCCGTGGTGGAGTCCCCGTTCCCTCAGTGGGGAATAGCAATATTAATCATCACTGCGTTCGGTCCATGGATGGAAAAACGCGTGGAGACAGTTTGTTTATTCCCTGGCGATAACGGGCGTGACACGGGGGGGGGGTGGAGGGAGGGTGGAGGTGGCCAGTCACATCACGATTCGCGCTGGCGCCGTCCGGAAATCCTTAGGAAAGACTAATTCCCACACGTCGCCGTCGCGAATTGTGGGGGGAGGGGGGGGGCGCGGGGCCAGCCATGGGCGTCATTGTGAATAACTAGCAAACGGGCTTTTGAGAGGTCCGATTCAGCATCGATGCTTGTAGTTAGCCGTGGTCGAAAAACTGGCTGAATGTGGCACAGACGCACTTTTATTATCCGGCTTCATCGGGCTCCATCCTGGGCTTCGTGCGACTTTATCCAGCTCAGTGGCCCCAACCTGGGTCTCATCGCGCGCTTCCTCGCTCCTGCGGAGACCTCCCGGGAGCTGCCTCCGAACCCCGGGGCACACGGCACTTCAGGCTCGCGCCGTGCCCACGCCGCGGCGACCCCGCCGCGGGCGTTCAGGGCCGAACGCCGCCAGGTAGCCGAGAACGCCGGCCAACATGGGAGCGATCCTCGCGATCGAAGAGCCGCCGATGGCCCGGGGTCGAGCGGTCCTCGCGGCCTCGGACAAAACCGGTGCCGCGGTCGCCTCGGCACGAGCCTGCCGTTGGCATTGGCGCGCCGCCTCGGCACGTCGCGGGCGCGGGCGCGGGCGGGGGCGCGCCAAGCATGACTTCTTCTGGGGGGCGGGGGAGGCGGAGCTTCCGGGCTCGAGCAGCTCGCGCGAGGGCACGGCCCCCCAAGTCGGCGGCGAACTCCGAACCCTGCCCTCGCCGATCCACGGTTCAGGGCAGCTCGATGGGCGGCGGGGGCAGGGTTCGGAGTTCGCGGAGCACGTGGCGAAATCCTGGTCCTACCCCAGGTTCCTATGGATTCAAGAGAATCGATGGTTGGTTGGTTGGTAGAGCGCTCCGACGATACTATGCTTTCAATCCTCAGCTTCTCCCAGGCATCCTGTGTCGTGTCCCTGTTTTGAAGAGGCAGCGCCCCGCGTCTCGCTCCTTCCTCCTTCCCCTCCTTCCTCCTCCCATCGCTGCCTCTGCTGGCACACCCCTCACACTCTTCGTGTCCCCATAGGGAGCTCCACCGACGGCCCCAGTGGCCATGTTCGCATGCGGCTGCCCCACCCATTTCGGCACACCCCTCACGCCCCAGTGGCCATGTTCGCATGCGGCCGCCCCACTCATTTCGGCACACCCGTCACACGTTTCGTGGCCCCATGGGGAGCTCCATTGAAGGCGATACTGACAACGACAGTACTCGCCACTGCATATGTTTAGGTCCTTCGCCAGGAGCTCTTTCCTCGATTTCGGCATCCGGGGCCCGTTGCCTGGGCTCGGGGCCATCAAAAACGGATCAGGGGCGAGAAGTACCCCATATGGTATGGGTCGGGACCTCCTGAGGCAGCGCCTTGAACAAGTCGTGCCGTCGGATGTTCTGCAGGAGAGCTACCCCAAAGGGGCCCTGGATTGCCTCCGTGGGCCCAACAGATTCGCGAGGCTCTTCAGATTCGCTGGCACGACGGCCCTCGGTCCTTTTCGGCGTCTTCGGGGCCGCCGTCGAGGTCGGGAGGAGGAGGAGGAGGAGGAGGAGGAGGAGGAGGAGGAGGAGGAGGAGGAGGAGGAGGAGGAGGAGGAGGAGGAGGAGGAGGAGAAGGAGGAGGGGGGAGGGAGGAGGGGGAGGGGGAGGGGGAGGAGGAGGAGGGAGAGAGGAGGAGGAGGAGGAGGAGGAGGAGGAGGAGGAGGAGGAGGATGAGGAGGAGGAGGAGGAGGAGGAGGAGGAGGAGGAGGAGGAGGAGGAGGAGGAGGAGGAGAGGAGGGGGAGGAGGAGGAGGAGGAGGAGGAGGAGGGAGGAGGAGGAGGAGGAGGAGGAGGAGGAGGAGAGGAGGGGGAGGAGGGGAGGAGGAGGAGGAGGAGGAGGAGGAGGAGGAGGAGGGAGGAGGAGGATAGAGGAGGAGGAGGAGGGGAGGAGGAGGAGGAGGAGGAGGAGGAGGAGGAGGAGGAGGAGGAGGAGGAGGAGGAGGAGGACGTTCCTGGTGCGGCTGGGGTTTTCACGCCCCAGTGGCGGAGGCACGGGCGCACCAAGCTCACGGCCGCCCTGGGGCTTGCGCCGCTCTCCCCTCTCCCGGTGGAGAGATGCTTTCCGCCGTCGCGGCTCCGTGGGCTCCACTCCCTGCTACCCACACGCCCCCTCGGAGGAGCGAAGTAGAAGCGTCGTCGGAACCCTGCAGCACGGTACTGCTGCAGTGAGACGTGCCGCGCTCAGCGCACAGAGCTCCCCATCACTTCAGGCAGGACTATGTGCAAGCTCCGATCTCGAGAATCGCACAAGAAACAAACATACGAGATTCGTGCGGACGAGGAGGAGGAGGAGGCGGAGGAGGAGGAGGAGGAGGAGGAGGAGGAGGAGGGAGGAGGAGGAGGAGGAGGAGGAGGCGGAGGAGGAGGCGGAGGCGGAGGCGGAGGCGGAGGCGCGGCGGCGGCGGCGGCGGCGGCGGCGCGGCGGCGGCGGAGGAGGAGGGAGGAGGAGGAGGAGGAGGAGGAGGAGGAGGAGGAGGAGGAGGAGGAGGAGGAGGAGAGGAGGAGGAGGGGGAGGAGCAGGAGGAGGGAGTAGGGGCCAGGGAGCTTGCTGGAGCCAGGTGGCTGTCGCGGCGCCCCGGGCGCCGCTGCGACCGCCGCCGGCACCCAGCAGCAAGGGCGGTGCCTGCAGGGGCAAGAAGGCCGCCCGGGACCGCGCGCGGGAGAGGGGGGGGTGGACGCGAATCGGTCATCTCGCACCCCCCCCCTTCCTTGCCAAGCCAGGAGGGCGCATGCACCGATGCAGGGCCCAGAACGGGCTTGGCCGAGATCGGTGAGATGGTCGGTTGACGTCCCCCAAGTGGGGGGGACGGACTGCTTCGACCACTGCGCCCTGGCTTCGCCTGTGGCCGTCTCGCCCCAGGACGGTCCGCCACGCCTCGCCCCCGACCTGGGGTGGCGCGGTCGCCGCGGGGGAACGCGGGGAGGAGGGGCCAGGAGGTGAAAAGAAAGTGGAGGATGTGAGGGCGAGGGATGAGAGGGGGAGGAGGATAGAGGAGGAGGAGGAGGAGGAGGAGGAGGAGGAGGAGGAGGAGGAGGAGGGGGAGGAGGGGGAGGAGGAGGAGGAGGAGGAGGAGGAGGAGGAGGAGGAGGAGGAGGAGGAGGAGGAGGAGGAGGAGGAGGAGGCAGCAGGAGGCGGGGAGGAGTGCCTTTTGGCAGGCGTTGGAGCGGATACTTTGAAGCTGTCGGAGGGCTCTCTGTTCGAGGTTGCGCGTCGTAGGTGCAGGCGGTACCCACCGCGCGCCTCTCCCCCCACGCACCGTGCCACATCGGCCTGCTAATCTCAGCGTGATGCCGCCTCCACAGAAATTACTCATGTTTCCTTTCGAGGGGCAAGAGTTGAGTCGGGCCGAGGGTCAGATAGCGCCTTCCTTTGCAGGACCACAGAAGAGGGTCGTCAAGGTGGTCAAACGCTTCGTGGGTGAAGCCGACGAAGATGTGCAGAATGTTCGGTCAACTCCCATTTGCGTTTCCGCTGGCAGCTCCGAGGTGAATGTTGGCCAGAGTTCCACGCCTCAAAGGGCGCCTTCTTCAAAGTATGTCGACTTTGGGGGTGATGCATAGCGACAGTGTGGAAGAAGTGCACCCCCAAATTTCGGCCCTGGCCACCGAGAGAGGCAGCTTTCATTTCCACGCCACGATGTAGGGTTTTTGTGGTGTGGAAGGCCACGCGCGCAGCAATCGCAGGATCCCATACGGTTCGCGCTGCAGGCGCTTGTGCGCGCTGTAACACATCATGCGGCGGTCGATCCTGGTCCGAGGCTTTGTGTTATATGCGCGCACACCTGCGTACGTACCAACGCGCGTGCGCGCATGCCTCGTTGAGAGTCGCCGCCCGCGCGGCGGCTCTGGCCCATCCTGCGTAGAGGAGCACAGTGCCAGAGAGAGCCGCCGCGCGCGGCGGCTCCGGCCCACCCCGCGTGGAGGAGAAACGCAGTGCGGGAGAGGCGGCCCTGGCCCGCCGTCCAAGCGTGACGTGCTGTCCAGCCCGAAGTGGCCCTGGGGCCCCCTGCGCTGCCGTCCCTCGGCGCTGCGTTCTTCCATGCTGCGCAGGTCCCAGAAGTCGAAGCGGGCCCCAGGGGGCCGCGCAGGCGCCGCGGAGCGCGAGGGGCGAGGTGGTGCTCCCGCGCTGTCTTGAGTGCGAGGTTTAAGCGGCACCGCGCGCGTCAAGGGGGGCGCATCCACGGGGGCGGTCGACCTCGGCGGTCCACCCGCGCGGTCAAGGGGTGGGCGTCAACCCAAGCTTGGCGACAGCTCCCGCGGTCGAGGGGTGACGTCAACGCTCGCGGCCAAAGCGATTGGATGTCAACCCCCGCAGTCAAGGGGGTGCGTCAACCCCCGCGGTCGACGTCAACGGTCGGCGTCGAGCATCGACGTCGACGGTCGACGTCGAGCGCCGACGTCGAGCGAGTCTTCTTTGTCTTCTTCTTATTATTCTCTTTCTTCTTCTTCATCTCTTCGTCCTTCTTCATTCTTCATTATCCCTTCCTTCTCTTCTCCCTTCCTCTTTCGGGGAAAAGGCAACGTAATGAACATCAACTGTTGGAGGTCAGTGCGGACTTCTTGGGTTGGGTCGGCGTTGGATCCTCCCTGGCGGCCTGGCGGCGCCTCTGGCGCCGCCCCTGGCGCGCTCCGCGTGCAAGAGAGGGGACCTCAGCGCCGATCCAAGAAATCCGCGCGGACCTGCGATTTTTTATGTTTGTGCTACTTCTTCTTCCTTCATTCTTGTTCTTCTCATTATTCTTCCCTCTCCTACCTCTTCGACCCACACCTGTCCTTGCCATTATGTTTCCTCTTATGTCTCATCCAGTTCTCCATCGGGGGCGCGAAGATAATCGCGCTTCGCGCACCCCAGTCTGGGCCAGAGCGGCTGCCCGTCTCCAAGCGGGCGGCGCGGGGGCACGAGAACGCGAAGACAACCGCGCGTCGCGCATCGCGTGGCGCGATGCGCGAGGTTAGAGATCATCAGTTTTGTCCTCTTCTTGCTCTTCTCCCCCTCCCCTCCCTCCCTCCCTCCCTCTCTCTTCCTCGCGGCACGCATGGCATTCAGGTGGGCGGCTATGGTTTTCCACAATTGGTGGCATGCGGTATTCGTGCAGAGGATCCTCTGGTTCGCGCGCTTCGTGTCTCCTGTCGTCCTGTGCATCCTCAAGGTCAGGGGGCGTGCCTGTTTTTGTAGGGGGCGAATGACAGTATAACACAAACTTTTCCGCCGTCGGGGACGCCTGCTCCCCGAGCGGCTGCAAAGCTTATACCCCCACGGTGTCACGTGGGGGGTGTAAACTTTGCAGCCGCCTGGGGGGCAGTCGTCTCCGACGGCGGGACGGTTTCTTTCATGCCTGTCTTCGCCCGCTAACTCTTCCGATGACACCACGCGACGGCCGAATCCCGCCGATCCCTTCCTCTTCTTCCGTTCTGGACTCCAAACGGGCGTCTGGGTCCCCTCTCTGGTGCGATGCACCGCTTCTCAGAGCGCATTGAGGAGCGAGAGCAAGCTTGGTGAGTCTTCTCCCTGTTGGAAGTCTGACTCGTGCCCCTGACGAGTTTGGTCGCAAATCGTGGGAGCCTTGTATACCCTCTTAATTCCGTCTCTAGACTTGCGCTGGCGTCGATTAGCGTCTGGTAATCGATGATTTAGCGCCACCTTAGCGTCGGCTAGCGCGTCGATCAGCGTCGATCCAGCGTCGAGTAGCGCCGACTCGCGTCGGGTAGCGTCGATCCGCAAGAGCTGACAAGACGGTATGGGAGGCTCCCGTGAGTCCCCACCGACGGCTGAGCGTGCCGTGCCTCCTCCTCCCCTTGGTCGAAGCCCCCCCTCGCGCCTAAGAAACGGACAACGGAAAGAGAGGGGAGACCATCCTGAGAAAAGATGTCGCGCCAACGTCCGCTGAAAGAATCAATGCCAGAGCAGAGATGCCTAATCCGGGGGGTCGGCGAAGCGTACAACAAACACTCATCACATGCACAGCCGTTGACCCTGCCTGCCGCCACCCCTCTGAGGGGGCCGGGGCCGACGATGGGCGGGCTCGTGAAGGGCAGAGCGCCCGGCAATCACGCCGCGCGTGCTTGGCGGGACGGCGGCGCCACAGGCTCCCTGGCCGAAGCCCCCTCCTCCTCCTCTTCCTCCTCCTCCTCCTCGTCCTCCTCCTCCTCCTCCTCCTCCTCCTCCTCCTCCTCCTCCTCCTCCTCCTCCTCCTCCTCCCCCCGCGCCGGAAGGGCGGCGGCGTGCCCGGCGGGCAGCCTGCGGGCATCCTGTGCGGCGAGCGCGGACGGCGGCGGCTGCAGGCCCTGGCCACGGGAGGGCCCGGGGGAGGAGGGCGGGGGCGGCGGGCAGGGGCGAGTAGCCCAGGGGAGAGCAACACATGTACACATTGTTCCTTTCTGATTCTTCGAGAGTTCCACTCTGTAAGAACGGTTTTTGAAGGCAGATCTGCCTTCAAGGAGGAAATGCTGGTCTACTCTGCAAGAACGGTTTTTTGAAGGCAGATCTGCCTTCAAAAAACTGGTCTACTCTGTAAGAACGGTTTTTTGAAGGCAGATCTGCCTTCAAAAAACCGTTCTTACAGAGTAGACCAGTCTTTCCTCCTTACAGGGGCGAGTAGCCCAGGGGAGAGCAACACATGTACACATGGTTCCTTTCTGCTTCTTCGAGAGTTTGAGTTCCTTGGTTTTTGGGGGGCCAAGATCCTCTCATTTCTAGTTGCTCTGTCCTGGGACTCCAACGACAATATAGAGATCCTGCAAGATGCTTCCTCGCAACGTTGATATCGAGAATCTCGCGTGAAACTCCAGACTCGTTGACAACCGAACGGATCCCCCTCGCAGCGGTCTTCCAGCCCGACGCGTGGGGAGTCCTTGGCATGTCCAAAATGCAGCGCCAGTGTGACTGCCCCTCTTTTTTGCAAGTTAGCTCCCCCTCGTCCGAGTAGCACTTGTTTTTAAACAGAAGAAACAACAGCGGTGGACAAAAGTCCTTCCAGGACGGCCAGGTCGCCTCCGCAGAAACGACTTGAGGCCCAACTGGGCCCGCGCATACCCCCAGATCTCCACCTGCGTGTATGTGAGGCTCCCCCGAATACTCCAGAGCGGGTCGTCCAGGACACCCTTGAGCAACGTCCAATTCAGATCCATCTCATTCATTATCCACACCTTGGATGGGCCCCTATCGTCCACAATGCGGAACGTGCCAGGGGATAGGGGCCCTTTCTTACGGGTTTCCCACCAGGACCAGTCCGAGGGAGGTGGTTGGGCATCTTCCTGGCCGCTTGGGGGCTAGGAACAATTAGAATCAGAAACGAGCACAATTAGAAATGAGCACGGTTAGAAATGAACGACGTGTGTTCAGGTGCGCCGATGATCTATGTCTTCTTAAAGGCTCCCGGGCGAAGACGTGTAATGCCCGCCCCTGGGCTCTTCGCCCTCATCGTCGCCGCCGAGATGGCGGCGCGCAGCATCGAGGCCTCCTGGGTGGGGGTCGGGGCAGACGGTGCCGGAGAACCGCGCCGCATCGCCGATGCATCGCCGATGCGGCTCGATGTGGAGCCCGACCGGCTTCACGTCGGCGTCGCCAGTGCATCGCCGACGTCGACGATGCATCGCCGGTGCATCACCGATGTCAGCGCTGATGCATCGCCGATGTATCGGCGAGGTGGCGCGATCCTCCGACCCCATGTACTCCGGCCCATCTAGGAGGCCTCTATTGGCGGCGCGCACAAGGGGGTACACGCCCGTCGTTGAAAGTAGGTGTTGCTGGATTCCCAGATGCCAGTCTACTTTAGGCGTCTTCCTAATTCCCTCCAGGAGTTTCCCCCAGGAATTTCCCACCTGATCGTCTAACCATTTCCCCGCTCGCCGCTCGCCCGAGAAGGCATCATCGCTCGGCAGGGAACATTTCTTTGTCGCCCGGCGAAGTTTCCCCCGTTAGCCCGACACGTTTTTTCTCGTTCGCCCTGTCGGATTTCTTCGTTCGGAAAGCTGTTTTTTTGGGGGGGTTCGTCCTGGCGAATTTCCTCGTTCGGAACATGAGTTTCCTCGTTCGCCCGCAGAAGTTTTCCCGTTCGCCAGAGAAAAAAGGTTCCTCTCGCCTGTCGCCCCTGGGCTCTCCTGGCTCTCCGATGGTTCCGCCCGGGCTCTCCAGAAACGAGGGCCGCCAGATGCTCCAGAGCTCCTGGACCCCCCAGTTGCAGTCAACCCGCATAGTAAGGATGGGCAACCTTCCCAAGGCTGCCCCTTGCATCCTTGCCCCTTCGGCCCATCCTCAGCGACCTTCGCTGCCGAAGAACGTCCACTTGGCCCTCCAGGGCCCTTGCAGCCTCACCGCGCATCCGTATGATACGGGTTGGCTGTCACCGCACCACGATGCCGCCTCTGCTGCCCCCTCCCGCGGCCCCGGAAGGCTGCCCGGGCTCTCCAGAGACGAGGGCCGTCAGGTACTCCAGAATTCCTGGACCCAGACATGCGACGTCCTGATTTTTTTCAGGACGGCGCCTCTGGAAGTCCCGACCCTTTCCCCAGGACCGGTTTTTCGTCCTGAGTCGTTTTTTGACGGTCCCGAGGCCCGGCGAGGGCCCCCAAGGGCCGAAAATAGCGGAAACTTTGCCGTCCCGATTCTTTTACGACGCGATCATGTCTGGGGAGCCCCCCCACAGTTGACTGCATCCCGACATCGTCCTCGCCCCATTGCCGCCCCCTTCCGCGGCTGCGCCCGCCGAGGTCAGCTGGGTGCGACCCGACGAGGGGCCCGGCGACGACGCCGGGCCTGCGGCCACCTCGGCCCCGGGCGCGCCGGGCGCGCCGCGCACCGTCGACGCGTGCCCCCCCGGCCTGGACTGCACTTCTCCCGGGGTGCGGAGGAGGAGGAGGAGGAGGAGGAGGAGGAGGAGGAGGAGGAGGCGGAGGAGGAGGAGGAGGAGGAGGAGGAGGAGGAGGAGGAGGAGGAGGAGCAGGAGCAGGAGGAGCAGGAGCAGGAGGAGGAGCAGGAGGAGGAGGAGGAGGCATGTGCCCGGGAGGCTTCAGGCCCCGAAGGATTCTTCCTTTGATGAGGGCGGCGGTGATGTCCACGGCCAGTTGGATTCCGTATCCAAGGGTTCCTTGCCCGATCCCCTCACCGTAGAGGCTCCAGGCCGCGGCCCATGCTGCCACTGCGCTGCTGCCCACGGCCCGTCGCTCTCGTGACCACCCCCGCTCTGATTGCAGCTGCGCCCCGCGGGCCTCGCCCGCCGGCTTGGCTCCCAAGAGGCCTCTGGAGAAGGCCCATCAGGGGCGGCGATGGGGGCGGGGATTGGCCCAGGGGGGGACGGCTTGACCCCCAATCACCCACGCATCGCCGATGGGGACCTTATAGCCCACCCCACCCAGGAACGTGCGAGCTCGCCATCGGGGGCCTCTCGCCGATCTACCAGGAACGTGCGAGCTCGCCATTGGGGGCCTCTCGCCGATCTATCGGCGAGGCATCGCCAGCTCCAGCTAAATGTTCCCCCCCCTCCTCTCCCTTGAGCTGCCTCCCCCCCCCCCCTCCGGGATCCTTGCCCTCAGCTCGTGCGCTTGGCCCCGAAGCTGCCCCTCTCCCGTCTCCGAGCGAGCTCCGCGCCGCCTCGACCGAGCGAGGAGTGGGGCGGGGAGCGGGGAGCGGGGCCTCCTAGAGGCCTATTAAGGAGAGGCCTCTGCGGTGCCTCTCTGCGACGAGCTAAGCTCGCCTCACGAGTTTTAGAACAAGCGACTGGGAACAAACAGTTTGAACGGGGAGTGCACTCCTTTCCAACGGCGTATGTACTACCAGACCGGTATTAGCAACAATTCGATCGGGGGGGAGGAGGGGGAGCCGGGGCGCAGGGGCGAAGGCTGCCGAGGCCCTCGCCGAGGCTCCTTGCCGGGGTGCGCTCCGTGCGGCTGGCGGGGGGAATCGCGAGTGCCGTCGAGGCGCCGGAAGGATTATGACGTTCCAACCTGCTTTAGCCTTGACCGCCAGAAGTAATTTCGAGCACCAAGAAAGTACCGAAATCCGTTTTTTCCCGTGTCGGGCCCTGGGAGGCGATAATACGCGTCCGACATTGCTTCGATGCTTTTTCTGGGTGTTCGAGATTATTTCTGGGATGTGGTCCTTAAGCGCGATGGGAACAACATAACGGAAGGAGGAGGAGGAGGAGGAGGAGGAGGAGGAGGAGGGGGAGGAGGGGAGGAGGAGGAGGAGGAGGAGGGGAGGAGGAGGAGGAGGAGGAGGAGGAGGAGGAGGACCACAGTGGGCCGAGGGGGTCCCCCGATGCTCAGGCCGTGCCCTGGATCTGGAGCGGGGAGAGGCTGCTCGTGGCAGGGGCTCGCCGTGGCCAGGGAGGCCCCCCCTTCGGTCCCCTCCTCCTCCTCCTCCTCCTCCTCCTCCTCCCCTTCCTCCTCCTCTTCCTCCTCCTCCTCCTCCTCCTCCTCCTCCTCCTCCTTCTCTTCGGCGCTCCTCTATGGCAGCACGGCGGCTGCGGTGAGGGGCGGAAGGGCGGAATGGGGCGGGGGAGGGCGTTCCCGCTCTTCGGGGACGCTCGTCGTGGGATTCTCGGCGCCCCTCCAGCCTCGGGGTGCTTCCCAGCAGCTGCGCCTCGCCGCGAGCGTCCCCCTGACCCCGGGCGGCCCCGCTTCTCGGGCGGCACCTCGGGGGCTGGGGGGGGGAGAAACATCGCCTGCGAGGGAAAGCTCGACCACTGAACCTCTCAGTTCTCCAGACATCTGGCTGCCGCATCTCTTTCGATGTGCGTGGGCCTTGGGGTATACCCGAATCGCCCCGAGCGGCCGCCGGAGAACCGAGCTGGGATCCCCCAGTCGCCCATCGATCGCCGATAGGGGGCCCGATAGACCACACCGCCCAGGACCGCGGATTCGCTGTCGAGGGCCGATCGCCGATCTGTCGGCGATGCATCGCCGCTTCCACGTCGATGCTTCCCCCTCTGGGCCAGCCCCCCTTTCGTTGGCCCTCAGCGGAGGGGCGGGGGAGGCAAGGGGCAGGTGGAGCCTGCAGGATGTCTGCGCTGGGCGGCATCGTCGCCGCCACTCGCGAGCGCCCAGCGGGCGCAGTTCGCACCCGCGCGCGTCTGCGGACGAGGCTGGCAGTCGCCGGGGAGGATGACGACGACGTCGATGACGTCGACCGCTTTTCTCGCTGCAGCGCGTGCCGCAGACGTTCTTCCGCCTGCCTTGTAGCGTTCCGCGTCTCTTCCACCGGCATGTCCCCAAGAGGTCCACAAGAAGATCCACGAGGCCCCTTGCCAGTCTTTGGAACAGCGTATGGACGCATGTCTCCACTGTGTGTGTGTGTGTAAACTGGTGTCGTCATCGCACTCATCATCGCCCATGTTGGCTTCCAGTGTGCCTCAAGGCGGCATGCGGGCCACCCTGGCTAGCCGCAAGTGGTCCAGGAGGCTCCTCGAAAGGCCCAAGGCCTGCGCAAGACAGCCTGAGGCCACGACGGTCCAAGGTTGGCCCAAGACACTTCCGATGAACCCTAAGACAGACCCTCTGTCCACCCCTGGTGGCCACAGGGATTCTCACGATTGGCCGAAATCGCAAGCTTCCAACTGACCCCGAGATCGAGAGGCGCCCACTGCCCCCCCAAGACAAAAAAGCTCCAGAACACGTCTGGAGAGGTCACATCACTGACACACACATACATCATGTTTTTGACCCGTTCTCGCATTGTTGCCCTTCTTGGCCTTAGTTGTAGTGGTGGTTGTGGCAGTGGTGGTGGTAGAAGGTAGTAGTTAGTAGTCAGTAAGTAGTAGGTAGTAGGTAGTATGCAGTAGGTCGTAGGTAGTAGATGGTAGGGGGTAGTTGGTAAGCAGTAGTTGGTAGGTAGTAGGTTGTAGGTACAGTGGAGACCCGTGCCAAGAAACACCCTGCTTGCCTCCAGGGTGCCCTGGGTTTCTTCGATTTCGATGGTTTCGCTATGGCAGGCGTGACGTTCCGACACCAACATTCTAAACGCTTCGCGTGTCCCCACCAGTTGCGCCGTTGCATGTTTCGTTCAGGGGCTGCCCTGCAGACTCCCTGGATTGCACGCCTTGGCTCAGGCGCCCTGGGTCGCTGCTGCCTGCCGCCTGACCGCGGCCCGCGCGCGCCCGCTTAGTCGCGGCCGCAGCCCGACCGCGACCGCCCGCCGCTGGCGCTTCCGCCTGCGGCTGTAAAAAAAAAAGTCCCCACCAGCCCGTCCAGAAATGAGCCCCAGGGGAGTGGAGGTGATGATGGAAGCGGGGGAGCATGCAGAAGAACAAAGGGCGGGGTAAGCCGCCATATACCCCAAGAGGGGGAGGATGTAGGATGTAGGAGGAGTCGTCGTCGTCGGAGTAGGAGGAGGAGGAGGAGGAGGAGGAGGAGGAGGAGGAGGAGGAGGAGGAGGAGGAGGAGGAGGAGGAGGGGAGGAGGATGAGGAGATGGAGAGGGCGAGGACGTGGAGGACGAGAAGGAGGAGAAGGAGGAGGAAAAGGAGGAGGAGGAGGAGGAGGAGGAGGAGGAGGAGGAGGAGGAGGAGGAGGAGGAGGGGGAGGAGGAGAGGAGGGGAGAGAGGAGAGGAGGGAGGAGGAAGGAGGAGGAGAGGAGAGGAGGAGGAGGAGGAGGAGGAGGAGGAGGAGGAGGAGGAGGAGGAGGAGGAGGACAGTGGCGAGCTTGGGGGCCTCTTGGGCCGTCTTTGGGGCCTCTTGGCGGTCCTGGGGGCCTCTTGCGTATCTCTGGGAGCCTCTTGGGGCCTCTTGGGGGTCTCTTGGGGCCTCTTGGGGGTCTTGGGGGCCTCCTGGGGGCCTCCTGGGGGCCTCTTGGGGCCATCTTGGGGCCATCTTGGGACCTCTTGGGGCCTCCTGTGCGCTTTTTGGGGCCATCTTGGAGGAGATCTATCAAAGAAGGGGGGGGGGGGGGGAATTAGCGTCGCCCCCCCCCCCAGGAGGCCAAAATAGGGCCAACACCTTAGTACAGTCAATGAGTCTGGCTTCCTCGCCGAGGCCATCTTGGACACTCTGCCCACCAGCGCACCCCCACCCCGTCCAGGTCCAGGGGAGGGGGTAGGGGGAGGGGTAAACCCCTCCCCGAAGGGGAAGAAGGAGGGGTGGAAGAGGAAACTCTCTAAACCACCTACGCCCAGAGAGCTGGTGGGATTCAATTGACGTCCTGGGGGCTCAAGGTTGGGGTTTATCGTGGAGGGTTTCTTGTGGTCGAGCCCCTACAGTAACAGTTAGGGGGTGGTGTGTAGTATCGGTAGTAGGTAGGCGGTGGGAGGTAGGAGGTATTAGATAGTAGGTAGTCGGTAGTCGGTATATATATACATATATTTATATATGTATATATACACAACTTTATATACGTATAGGCGCAGTAGTCGTAGTAGTAGTAGTAGTAGTAGTAGTAGTAGTAGTAGTAGTAGTAGTAGAAGTAGTAGTAGCAGTAGTAGTAGTAGTAGTAGTAGTAGTAGTAGTAGTACTAAAAGTAGTAGTAGTAGTAGTAGTAGTAGTAGTAGTAGTAGTAGTAGTAGTAGTAGTAGTAGTAGTAGTAGTAGTAGTCGTAGTCGTACTAGTCGTAGTAGTAGTAGTAGTAGTAGTAGTAGTAGTAGTAGTAGTAGTAG